TCTGCTCAGCGCATTCGCAGATGGTACGTTTAAGCTTGCCTCAGATCTCGCTGTACCAAAGGATCTCCAGCAAATTCCGTTTGAGGATATCGTAACCATCTTGGATACTCATTTCACACCGAAGCAATTGGATTTAGCGAGCGCCACAATTTCTATGCCGCTACCCAACAGCCCGCCGAGTCACCGTCGCAGTGGGCCGCTAGACTGCGCGGCCTAATCGTTCACTGCCAATTTTCCAATGTGGAGGAGGCACTGAGGGACCGGTTTATTATGGGTATGCTGCCAGGAGTAGAAAAAGAAAAGTTATATACGCAGGATATTTCGGGTATAACATTAGCAAAAGCTGTTGAGCTAGCGGAGAACGTACGAAGCGCGCGGGCGATTGCCGCCAGCGCCGCAGCCACCACTACCGTCGTCACCGATGCCACCACGGACCAGCTATACAAAATTGGGCAGGATTCGAAGTGCGTGCATTCTCGTCAAAAGTGCGCAGTATGCGGTTATACGAGTCACAGTGCATCGGAGTGTCGTTTCGCTAATTACAGATGTAAAAAGTGTAATATGAAAGGACACTTGGGTAGAATGTGCAAAAAAGTGAATTAAGTAAATACGAGTGAGGTGGGCGAGGACAGCGATGACGGTAAGATATTTAATATACGATCAGTTAGGGGTGAGCCTTTAGTAGAAAGCGTTATTGTCAATGGCATAGATTTAGATTTTCAAATCGATAGCGGATCGGCGGTGACTGTAATATCGGAAAGAACATATAAATTGCATTTCCACGATGTACCATTATCGTTCACTAAAAAGAAATTAGTGAGTTACACCGGTGAAGTTTTAGGTTGTGCTGGCCGTGTACAGATGTCGCTTCAGTGGCGGGGTAAAACGTGTATGCTAGACGTATATGTAGTTCGTAATGGCGGCCCGCCACTGCTCGGTAGGGATTTTATTGCACGTTTCGAACTTCAACTGACGCCAATACATTATTGTAAGCAAATACAGAATGAAATTGAAACGCTACACATACGTTATCCTAAGGTGTTTTCGGGAGAACTTGGGTGTTTCAATAAATATGAAGTTAAGTTAACCTTGAAAGAGAACGTTAAGCCATTGTTTTTTAAGGCGCGTCATATTGCTTTCGCCTTGAGGGACAAAATAGATAGCGAACTAAAGAGGTTGGTCGATCTAGGGGTACTTCGTCCGGTTAATTATTCTGAATACGCATCCCCAATCGTACCCGTATTAAAACGCGATGGCTCTGTCAGAATATGTGCAGATTATTCTGTTAGCTTAAACAAACAGTTGGTTATAGACCAATATCCATTGCCGACGGTTAATGAACTTTTTTCTAAGTTACACGGGGGCCAATACTTTACTAAGCTTGACCTATTAATGGCGTATAATCAATTTTGCCTAAATGAAGAATCCCAAAAGCTAACATGTATCAATACCCATCGGGGTTTATTTTCTATATACATGTTTAGTTTTCGGCTTAGCTAGTGCGCCGGCTATTTTCCAGCGTGCAATGGAATATGTATTAGCAGGGTTAAATGGAGTACATTTTTTACTTGATGATATTCTGATAACCGGCAAAGACGATGCCGAGCACCTAGACAGGCTACACCAGGTGCTACAAAGATTACAAGACGCGCGCTTAACGTTGCAAAAAAATAAGTGCAGTTTTTTTAAAGACGAAATAAGTTACATAGAAACTAGAAATAGTTAAATAGAAACGGTTTAAAGAAGTCACCGGAAAAGGTTAAAGCTATATTAGAAGCGCCAATCCCCACAAATGTTAACCAATTACAATCGTTTTTAGGCCTCGTCAATTACTACAGGTGTTTTGTTCCAAACGCATCATCTATTTTATCCCCCCCTCTACCAATTATTAAAAAAGGGGATAAAATGGAAATGGTCTAAAGTAAAAAACGAAGCGTTCGACAATATAAGAAAAATATTATCCTCGGAATAGGTTTTAACACATTATAATCCAGATGAAACAGTTATACTAACCGTGGATGCGTCACCTAACGGGTTAGGTGCTATATTATCGCAAAAGAATAGTGCAGGTATTGAAAAGCCACTCTCGTTTGCATCACGGACTTCAAAAAAGAAGCTACTGCTATCGTATTTGGAGTACGGAGGTTCCACCAATATTTATATGGTAGGTCTACGCCTTTTATTCTACGTACGGATCACAAACCGTTATTATCAATTTTTGGGCCATACAAAGGAATTCCGGAGGTATCGGCCAACCGTTTGCAGAGATATGCTTTATTTCTAAGCGGATATAATTACACGATAGAATATGTTAAGAGTTCGGATAACAGTGCAGACTACTTGTCGCGTTTCAGCCTCCCGGGCGCCGATGCGAGCAGTAACGGCACGGGCGGGGATTCAAACGCGGGGTACACGGAAACCGCCGATATCGACGACCGCGCAGCGTACGTTAATTTCGTTGTCAATGGCGCGATACCAATAACCCTACAGGCGTTACGTGATGCAATAAATAAAGATCGCATTATGAAAAAGGTCACACATTATGTTTTAGAGGGATGGCCAAAAAAAGTTAATGATCCAGAGATAAAACCCTATAGTTTATGTAAATTAGAAATGTCGTATGAAAATGGTTGCCTTATGCGTGGTCAAAAAATAGTTATCCCTGGATCGTTACGTGATAGAGTGATATCGGAGCTACATGCATCACATATGGGTATTGTTAAAACTAAAGCCGAAGCTCGCTCTCGGTTTTGGTTTCCAGGTTTTGACGGCGTCCTTGAGCGTATGATTGGCTCTTGTGAAATATGCATGCAACTACGAGCAGCGCCGCCGCGCGTACATATTTCCCCGTGGAAATATCCTGCTGACCCCTTCCGAAGAATACACCTCGATTTCCTCGGCCCCATCAACGGACATATGTACTTGGTTATCGTTGATGCGTACTCCAAATGGGTCGAAGTCTGCCGCATGAATACTACTTGTGCTTCCATCGCAGTTATAGATAAATTATATGAATACATGTCAAGGTTCGGTCTTCCAGAGACTATAGTGACTGATAATGGAACATCGTTTTGCTCCCGGGAGTTCTTAGACTTTTGTCATCTTAACGGCATTACGCATATCACGTCACCTGCCTACCACCCGGCAAGTAATGGACAAGCTGAAAGCTACGTGAAGGTAATAAAAAGGGGTATTAAGTCTAGTTTGTTGAGCAGCAATAATGTTAGAGAATGTAATTTAAATCTTTTAAAGTACATTTTCGATTACCGTAATTCGGTCCATTCCACGACGGGTTTATCTCCTGCGCAAATAGTTTTTGGTCGTAAATTGAGATCGCGGTTAGATATATTAAAGCCAGCACCATCGCCGCCCCTGTCTTCCTCACTCGCTAAAGCAGTCCGATCAAAACAGTGTTCACAGGTTAAGTCGCATGGTGGGAAAGAAAAAATGTTTTTACCCGGACAATATGTTTTATATAAAAAAATATTTGAATAAAAATAAGTTCAATTGGTGTAAAGGCGTAATTATACAAAAACTTGGTAAAATCATATACTTAATACGAGACTCTTTGTTAAATACTGTTGTAAAAAAAATTTTGTTGGGAGAGGGGGATGGACCCGAGGACAGAATTTTAACACCTGCGCCTGCAGCTGAGACTTCTAATGAGAACTTGACGAATTCTAATTACTCTTGCCGCCAATCACGATCACCCTCACATATAACAATAACGCGAGGAGTTCGGCGTCCACAGTCGTTGGATGATGAAGAAGAGGTATCACGTGCACAAGAGTATCAAGTGCCATTAAAATGAAATCGCCCTAAGGTTGATTATAAAAAGTTTTTTAATATGTTTTAAATATATTTACTTATATGTTATATATGTTAGTTCTTTTATATAAGGTATTACATATTATAAAACCCTCACTATAGGGGGAGGAATGTTGTGTATTATACCTGTACGCGGCTGCGTCCACGCCCATTAATAATGTTTGCAATTAAAGCAGTACATCAACAGCCGTTGAGTGTGTAACTAGTCCCCTTGCGCTCCGTATCCGCGAACATAACACATATTAAGGGCGATTCGGCATCGTGCGGACATACATCCCTCGCATCACGGTCAGAGCGTATTTATTGTTTCCGTTTTCTTATTCTGTATGAATAAGTTTGTGTTTGTAGCGTAAGAAGTACAGTTTTCGATTATTTAATGTCCGGGCGTACGGTATCTATGGCTTGAGGACGGAATTTTCGCAATCATTATGCCAGATCCTCGTTCGTCAGTCAGCAGAGTTCATCATAGCCTTCAGGTGAAATTAGGTATCTAAAGTGATTTTCGATTGTAACCCTAAAAATCCATTAGCAAAATCTTAAGAAAAATAATTTTCATCCTGTAGGGTGACAAGCAAAATCTGATGGTAAGTGAATGCTGCGGCCCATAGACATCTATATTTATTCTCGATTAAGAATCAAAATTCTTAATCGGACTTCCGGTTGAGCCGTCTAATAGTGTAGACGTCATAAAGTGTGCTCAGAAAATATAAACAAATAACGTTTTGAAAACCGAATAAACCTTTAAACTGTGCAAGTGAATTGAAAAATAAGGACTAAAGGTGCAAATTAAAGGTTAAAACAATAAAAATCGTGTGTGTTTTGTCTAGAACAAAGCAAGTGCAAATAACATTGTGTTATTCTTACCTAAAAACAATAATCTTGCCTTGACATATAGCAGTGCTACCAACATCAAAGAACGGAACATCGTTTCGTCTCGCCATAGACAAAGTGTTGCAACATTAAATTATATAACTACCAAATTACACTAGTGCTGCCATACCTAAAAACAAATTACTACCAAAATAAAGAAGAGTTGCTAATATTTTAAAAACAAATACATAAATTTGAAATTTATGAGCAAATGCAATTACTATTTTCGAAAATAAAACTAGAAATGGATAAACAAACAGCGACTCTAATAGATTCGATCACAAAAGCATTACTAAAAAAAAATGGATGATAAATTAAAACCAATTATTGAAGAAAATCTGTATCTAAAAAATGAAGTGGAGATATTAAATGGGAAGGTAAAACGTCTGGAACTTGGAAAAAAGGAGAACAATTTGATATTCTACGGTTTCAAGGAGTCGACTGAAAATATTAACATAGCAGAAATGGTATCAAAAACTTTAATTGATTCGGATACTGAAATTCGTAAATCAGATATTAATAAAGCATTTAGAATTGGCAAGGTAAAAGGAGAAGCACGCCCGATTTTAGTTAATATGCTAAATGCATGGAAGAGAAACGAAATTTTGCGAAGTAAGAAAAAGCTACCAAAAAATATTTATGTAAATGAAGATTTCAGCAAAGAAATTTTAGAAAAGAGGAGAGAACTCATACCTCAGCTGAAGGAAGAACGAAGAAAGGGACGTATAGCATTTATAAAATATGACAAACTGGTTGTGAAGGGCGAAGCAGGTGGGATGCGAGATAAGAGGAAGAGAGATCAATCTGCTTCACCAAAAACAATGAATGAGACTGGAAACGGCCGACTAAAAATTAATAAAATAAATGCCTTCGAAAGAATATACAGGAACAGATCACACTCAACATCAGATACGAATAAAGAGTAGCAATTAACACATATCGGAAACCGGAAGATCAGAACAAACGAACTTAAAATATTTAACAAAACAACCAAAACAATCACACCTCCCCAAGCCGGCTGGTCCCCGTGGGGGGTATCGACCAATCCCTTCCAGCTCCAATAAGAGAAAATAACGAGAACACCAAAACACAACAAAATAGGAAACTGTATATTTCTACTTTGAACTGCCTAACACTGAGAACACAAGAGAGGCTCAGCGAATTAGAGCTAGCACTCTCAAAAATAAAGTGGGACATATTAGGTTTAAGTGAAGTAAGAAGATTAGGTGAAAGTATTGAAGATCGAAAGGAATACATTCTGTACTATAAAGGATAAAACAAAAGGAAGTTATGGTGTCGGCTTCATGGTTAAAAACATTTAGAAAGAAATATTGATGAATTCAAGGGTATATCAGGACGAATAGCTGTACTTAATATGCATCTGCCAGGCTACAGGCATAAGTGGTCAGTTATTCAAGTATATGCACCCACTGAACAACAGGATGAATTAGTTAAAGACCTATTCTATGACCAACTATCAACAGTTGTACAAGAATCACACAAAAACGTTTTAGTTATAGGAGATTTTAACGGGAGAATAGGCTCTCAACGAACTGGCGAAGAACATGTAGTAGGAAAATTCGGTTTCGGAATAAGAAGTAAAAATGGAGAAAGGATGATTAAAATGGCGTTGGAAAACAATCTTGCGTTCATGAACAGTTTTTTCGAAAAAGATCCAAGGAAAAAGTGGACCTGGTTATCTCCAGATGGGTCATACAGAAACGAAATAGATTACATAGCAACTAACAACAGAAAAATTTTCCAAGATATAAGTATTCTAAGCCAATTTAATTTTAACACCAACCACCGCATGGTGAGAGCAATAATAAGTAGTATAGAACCGAAAAAAAGTAGAAACAAATTTAATGTAAAAATTAATATTACAAAAACAAAATATTTAGTAAGTAAACCAAAAAATGAAGTGGAAGAAAAATATAATAATGTAATAAACGAAATATATGGTCCGTTGTTAAAGAAATTCCCAAAATCCAACACTACTCATACTGAAAATAAAACTGAAAGATTAATAGAGGAAGGAAAAATGCTGCTAAAACTAGGTAAAGACAAACAAAATCTAATGGCGATATAAATATTAAGCAAGAAAATAAGTAATAGCATCAAAAAGAACAGAATTAAAAAAGAACCAACGTACTCAACTACCATATAAAAAATACAGGAGGAATCAAAAAAGCTTTAAAAGAACTAAAAGAGACAAAAACCTGGGTACCAAATATTAAAAATAAAGCAGGAAAACAGGAAACGACAAGAAGAGCTATAATACAGACAGCAACTGATTTCTTTAGAAAACTTTATGCGGCAGAACAAAGTACCCAAGATCTAATTATAAATCTCGATGACGATGACGACTTAGAAGACATACCAGTTTTTCTACAATCAGAAATAGAAAAAGCTGTCAACAGTCTTAAGAACAATAAGGCACCCGGAGCAGATCAGATTACAAATGAAATGATCAAAACCTCAGTTATGTCACCGGAAAAGCTAAGAAAACTCGCAGAAATATATAACTTCATTTTAAGCACGGAATGTATACCATCTCAATGGACAAAGAGCACAATCATACTATTACACAAAAAAGGAGATAGAAACGTAATTCAAAACTACAGGCCTATAAGCCTCATGTCGAATATTTACAAAGTTTTCTCTAAACTGATTTTAAACAGAATAACAGGGATAATGGACGAAGAGCAACCTATAGAACAAGCTGGTTTCAGAGCGGGGTTTTCAACAACAGACCATATGCATGTCATTAAACAGCTAATAGAAAAATGCCAAGAATACGGTAAAGCCTTGTACATCGCATTTGTGGACTATAGTAAGGCATTTGATTCCATTAAACATGATTCACTGTGGAGGGCACTAATCCAGCAAGGAGTGCCAAAAAATATATACGTATAATTAAAAATATATACGCGAATAGCATAGCGCAAATAAAACTGGAAAGAGCTGGTGAAGAGTTCCCAATTGATAGAGGGGTTAGGCAAGGAGATCCACTATCCCCAAAACTTTTCTCTGCAATATTGGAAAGCATATTTAGGGATCTCGAGTGGGACAATTTTGGCATCAATATCAACGGCAGGCAACTCAATCATTTAAGATTCGCGGATGATATAGTCCTCATAAGTGACAACGCTAATACACTTCAACATATGCTACAACAGTTGACGAATGCAAGCCGAGTAGTTGGTCTTACTATCCTGTTCGCCAAGCGAGCGCGCGCCATGTTATACTCCCGTTCACTCGGGACCTTTTTTGGCGGGAAAATTTGTAAGTTAGCAAATTTTTTGCTATATTGCAAATTTTGCTATATTTTCACTTTGAGACAATATTTATGGATAAAACTTACAGGAATTCTTGTTGAATGTATAAACTATCGAATAAAATTATTTTTGGTTGCTAGAAATTGTAATAAAATACGTAAATTACCCTGTATAGCATAGTAGTAGCATATACTACAATTTTAGTGACAAATTACTACACTTTTGTTTTTGGAGAAATTTATATCAAATTGTTTGGAAATATGTATATTTTTATGTTTTATGTGTTTCCATTCGTTACTCATACCAAAATATTAAAATATTATAAAAATTAAAAAAAAAATAAAATAATATTTTATCTGTATGACATTTCGAACAATATTTCTAAAATATGTTTGTGTGAATTTGAAATAAATACAACGTCATGTTATTTGAAATATATACGAAAACTATTTTTACTTACATTTTACACTAAAAATAAATGAGAATTTGAAAAATAACACATTTATAACTCACCTGCCAAAACGGGCTTTCCGGAATTTGAAGTACTTTTGGCAATTTACTTTTCACTTTTTTATACCACAAATTACATATCTACGTGTTTACTATATTACAAGGAATATAAAAAAGTATAATACTTTCGTTTTTAGTCCAGACACAAATATAAAATTCTATAAAAGACGGAGCACCTTCAACAAAGTGACACGTGGAACGCCGGAAGTTCAGAGTGATTTCTTTTATTTTTTCTAAGAAACATTACCAGGTTATGGTTTAAAATAAAAGAGCATATCTTTGTCTTTGATACTAATATCTATTGCATAGTGTCTTTGGTTTTGTTTAAAACGAAAAAATAGTTTTTTCATAGGTAGACATGTTTACATAATTCTGATCTAATTCGATCACTACTTGGCGGGCGTAAGGTTGGTATTGCGCGATCGAAGGTGAGCTAGGCTTGGTTAACAGGCTATGAATAAATCGAAAACAAAAGTAATGACAAACAGGGAAGAGATTGACATAAAAGTAGATTATGAAGATATTGAATATGTTAAAAATACACATACTTAGGGCAATTAATATCATTTAGAGATCATACAGAGATGGAAATAGACAGAAAAGTAGCTTGTGCTTGGAAAAGATACTGGTCCCTTAAAGAAATATTCAAAAGTAAATACTTTCCTATAACAGCCAAGAAAAAAGTGTTTAACTCCTGTATCTTGCCATGTCTTACATATGGATGCCAAACCTGGGCGTTGAATCAGAAACATCTTCTAAAACTGAGAACATGTCAAAGGGGAATTGAAAGAAGTATGTTGGGCGTGACGCTAAAAGACCGCAAAAGAGCAGAAGATATTAGATCTACAACAAAGGTGGAAGACATAATTAAGAAAATTAGACAGTTAAAATGGCGATGGACAGGCCATATGGCAAGAGAAAGCAGGATAAAATGGACGCAAATCATAACAGAATGGCAACCACGTGATGGCAAAAGAAAAAGAGGTAGACAAGCAAAAAGATGGACAGACGATACCAAGATTATTGGAGGGACGATATGGACTAGAAAAGCCAACAACAGAGAAGAGTGGAAAGAGCTGAAAGAGGCCTTTGTGTCACAGGACACGCTGATCACTAAACTCGGAAAACCGTTATGCTAGATTATAATTAAGTTAAAACAATCATATACTATGTAAAACAAAATGTTTAGAATCAGCAATAAAGGCTTAAAAAAAAAGAATCAAAATGCAGATGCCACCCCTAAGGACTACGATGGAATGTCTCATTTCCAGTAGAAAGGGTCTCCGATTCTCTACACTCACCATACGAATCACAGCAGCATTGAACTGCTATTTTATGCTGGTATTCTGTGAGTGCTACTAACATAATATACTTAGCTGCAGCATGGCACTACCACGTAAACATTTTAAATAAGCTCGTATTCATACAATATATTTCTTCAGTCGTGACGATGGTTCATAACTATGCTAGGATATGATACATTGCGCTGCAGTCATGTTATTAACAAATTCCAAATTTATGCACCAAAATGACACATAATTTGGTATGGTACAATCACATTTCGCCAGTGGCATGCGAATATATAATTTTATAATTGTGAGTTTGTTAATTACAATTTCATGATAAATTTAAGAATAAAAAGTCATAAGATAAATAATACATATATAGATAGACATTAAAAATAAACGAAAAATAATACAAAATTCAATCCAGTCCAAAATAAAAAATCGTCAAGTTAAGGTGTACATGTTACAAGTTCTCAAGTCAACGCAAGATAATATGAAATATCACTTGGTCTATAAGCAGAAAAATCGTCTAGGGAATAAAAACATTTATGGACAAGCCATTATTTTTTTTTGAAAATAGTTAAATGGAAGTTTTCGAATATCACTTGTGATTTTATTTTATACTTTTATACACATATTGCGACAATTCTTCTGAAAAAAGACAGTTTTACAATTTCAAAAATTTAATTTATTCAAAATTGTGTTAGTTTTGTGCAAAAAGAAGAAGACATTTGAATTATTAATAAATTTTATAATAACACAACAATTTTTTTAAAAGTCGGCAGTTAATATAATATGCTTATCTTATTGGACTGTAACGTGCAATAATACTTGCTAAGATTCCGTATACAG